CTGACAGCTGGGGCAGCTCTGATCTCACTTACACTTGAGTGATTGACACTGTTATGGCTGAGAAAACAGCTTGCCATTCCCTTTTAATTGTTCCACGAATTGTCACAATGTAGGGATAATGCATAGCAACCATTACATGTTCATTGCTGACTCGTTTTATCGGTGCTAGAACGGAGCTTGTAACGCGGCTCATATACAATTATATATTTGAAGTTAACACCAGGATTGTCCCTCATAAGTGAGGTTGCATTTATGCTTAATAGGCCTGACGTCCCGACGAATGATAGTAGGTTAGGTAACTGAAGTAATTCATACGGTCAGCAAAACTTCGAGCCCGTGTGACCGCAATTATGTCCATTAATTTAGGATAGGGTTTAGGTCTGATTTAGGATCCACTTAATTAATCACACCCTGCTCACACTCTTAAATGTCGTTGGCATGTTTGGGTTAATCCCATCGGCTTGTGATTCATGATAAATCCCCATAGGGCACTTCATGAGTGCCCAATCATAGATCCGCAGATAGAGTGGGTTATTTATAGGTTTTCCCAGCTCGTTTAGCTTCATAAGATATGGCATTATTGGGTCCAGCCCCCCCCACCCCGTCAACGAAGCCTGCATGCCCAGTGAAGACATACTTATTTACCTCGGCAGTCCCGAGAAGATTCGCTCGCAAAAGAGCTTGCGAATAATTTCACGTCACCATTCATTAAGGATAAGTCCGATATGCGAAGCTGAGCCTCGCCCGGGCTATGGGGGAGCCCGGCCTGTGCCGACTAATGTCGACTCGCTAACAGTGTGTCAGCAGGTGCTGACTCGGATGAGCTTAGTCCTTACCCACCGTGGTGCCCAGCCACAGCAGTAACCTCCAGGCGACAATTGCAACTTCTCGCGCCTGGGCGGGGCGCGAACCGCCGACCCCTCGAATGAAAGGCCGGCACGTTACCACTGTACTAGCCCGGAGGCCACCATTCATTAATGCATCATTCTGTCGCCTATCATTTAATGTTAAATTCGATGTGGTAATTTAAATAATTTTGCATTACGTCTATAAATATTTAGTCGCATTATTGTTAAAATGAACTTTATTCTCCGTGTTGGCTACATTACCGCTCTTGATGAGATCACTCTTACTTTCATTTGACATTCATCAATCACTGTCACTCAAACATGACATACTTTCCTTTCTGTTTCGACATTTGGTTCAAGTAAATCCTTGCGGGTTGTCAATTGTCGTTTCCCTTACGTTATTCTCGTATCTAGCAAGAGGCGGTTTGGTAGTTGAAGATTGTCCTTGCGGACGCTACACGCCGTCTCCCTCTCCTATTTTCCTCTTTTAACTTAACTTTGTGAACGTAAAACACAAAATAAAAAAAGACGAAAATAACGAAAATTAGACCTTAGAAACTGCAAATCTTAAACAAATATCGGCTAGTGGCATTTAACACCTCTTCTCTGTTGTCTTTCAGCCTCCGGGCTAGTACAGTGGTAACGTGTCGGCCTCTCATCCGAGGGGCCAGCGGTTCGCGCCCCGCCCAGGCGCGAGATGTAGTGAGCTGACGCCTCAGCTTCCTACTTGCCGCTCTCGCCCCTGTGTCAGGCTTCGTAACAGATTTCTTACTAGTCCCCTTCCCCCTGACTATCCCTGGCGCCTGGCCGTGACGGACGATAATAGATGGCGCAGAAGGCGACGCTGCAGAGGACCTGCCTGCAGAAGACGCTGACGAGCGAACGTGGACACCTTGGACGAGATGCTGCAGTCCTTACAGAGGAGGAGGATGACATGATTTTGTATACCAACTTTCAGCCCGGAAACACCTGGAGTAACGCTGCAAACAACGTATTTCTGAAAGCTGGCGACAGAAAACGGTGTACAGTTGTTTGGCGCCAAAGCCTGGTTGGCCAGCCAGCGTAATTTTATTTCCTTTTATATTCAAAACCTTGTATATAGTTTATTTTCCTTTTATTTATATAAAAAATGTCATATGTTTCTATTAAAGACCTCCTCTGCAAATACCAACTGAAAAGAGCAATCACACAATAACTAAGATTAAAGCTGTAACGTCTCAAGGAGCAGACGACATTCTTAAGAATAACGAGTCTTGCTGCGAACTTGGCGCACGACCTTGTTCGTATAAAAGGTCGGGTCAACGACCTTGTAGAGGGTTGCGCACACATTGGCTCTGTGAACTACGCTCGGTCTTTCCTTCAGAAAGCTAGCGTTTTTAACGAACTTATTATATTCATTTTGGATTTATTTTTACCCTTGGATTTTACGAAGGATTTACGAAACTGAGGTGTAATAGCGGTTTTTTAAAGGTATTGTTTTCCTGTTTTTATTAAGATTGCTCTTTTTTCATGGAGGTTTTAGTTGTGTATTGTTTTTATGGCTTAATAATAATAATTTAATGAACTGGCTTTTTATTTTTATTTCATCACGTTTTATTTTCTTTATTTTAACTAAGTGAGAAGATAATCAACATTATGATCTTTATGTTATGCCTGCTTGGTGAATTCTCAGTCCATTCGTATTTTCGTATTTTCTTATTTTCTTTTATTTTGTAAATTTTTGTACTCTCGCTTAACGAGAGTACATTGACAATGCAACACGGCATTCAGGCTTTTCCTGCAGTCAGGTTAAATACATATAGCTTTGGCCACGATCCTGAAAGCTAATCCGCTACCACACGATTAACCTGCTGTTAGTACGAGCTATATTTATACTTATGTGCCGAAACAGGACGCACGAGATCTTTCTCACATGCTCCTACGGCCCGCCCAGGGACAGCCTCGCCCTACACGAGTGAAAGAGATAGAAAGCAGAGAGAGAGAGAGAGTAAATAAGTGAGCGACAGAGTGTGTGAGGGGGAGAGGAGGTGAGGCAGGAAGGGAGAGATAGAGAGAGTTAGAGAGAATAGGAGAGAAAGAGTAATTCAAGGAAAGAGAAACAAAGAAACACAACAGCACGCGTAAGGAGGATGAAAAGACTTTTCCATAAATATCTGTAGCGCTGCCTTATCTCGACTGACGACAAGGAGGGCGTGCGGAGGCATGCAAAGGCAAGCAGAGGTGGGGAGAGAGGGAGGGAAGAAGAGAGAATGAGAGTGAGAGAAAGGGAGGAAGAGGGAAGAGATGGGGACGAAGAAGAGAGAGAGGGAGAGGGATGGAGAAGGCGAGAGAGAGAAGAGTTGAGAGAGAGAGACGGAAAGACACAGAGAAATGGTTGTAGAAGGAGAGAGATAGGGAGTGTGAAAGAAAGCGAGAAAGAGAGATGGGGAAGGGAAGGAAGAGAGAGAAATAGGGGTTAGGAAATGGAGAGGTAAGGGAGGAAAGTAAGAGAAAGGAAAAGAGAGGGAAAAAGTCAGGGCTTGAAGGGAAACGAGAGGAGAGTGAGAGAGTCAAAAAAAAAGAAAAAGAGAGTAAAAGGGAAAGAAAGAGATAGAAAAAGAGAGACTGAGAAAAAAAGAGAGATGGTAGGGGGATGGGGAGAGAGTTGATTATGAAGGGGGAGATAGCAAATTAGACAAAGATTAAGATAAGAACTTAGAAAGAGATGGGGGGAGGGAAATAGATAGATAGGGAGAGAGAGAGAACGAGATAGATAGAGAAAGAGAGAAAAGTTGTGAAAGGAGAGAGAGAGATAGAGATAGTGGGGAGAGAAGGGGAAAGAGGAAGAGAGGTAGAGAAGGAAGGAGAAAGAGAAAGAATTTGGGGAAAGACTGAGAGAAAAAGGATGATAGGGGGAAGAAAAGAGAGGGGGTAAGAAGTAGAGAGGGAAGGAGAGAGAGAGAATGAGATAGGCTTTATCTTTTTATCAGCTGACGCTCCGGGAAGACAACTGGCGCACCACACACACACACACATTTAAACCCATGCAGACGCATACACAGATAAAGAAACATTCACATACAGACAAACACATTCAAACACACAGACAAACGCACACATGCATATAAACACGTGCACAGAGACAAAGAAACAGATAAACACAGATACAAACACACCTACACAGAAACAAACGCACACACAAACATAGATGTGAATTCTGTCAAAAGAGGGATGTGATTTCTGTCTTTGTGAAGTGAATAGGATTTTTCCCTAAATGGAATGAGGTATGATATGTGTGTGTAAAGTGAGGTTTCCATTCTCCTAATTGGGTGAGTGACTGAGTAACGGAGGGATTCAGGGGGAAACATAGAGAGAGACTGACCGAGTGAGTGAAAGGCAGAGAGAGCAATTGAGCGATTGAGAAACTAAGAGAGAGTAATAGTTTAAGAGGCGGAGAGAGGAACTGAGTGAGAAAGAATAATTGAGTGAGAGAGAGAGGATATTGGACAGACAGACAGGGATATTAATCGAATGAGTGAGAGTAATTGAGTATCTTGGAGCTTACTCGTTCCTCGCTTTGTCTGCAGTGTACGAGGGCACAGTACGAGCGGAATTACCGGGCGGGATTGTTTCCAAGAAGAAATCAGTGCGACTCCTTGCTTAAGGGGACACTCAGGTGCTCTGCCTGTCTCCTGTGTCATATAGGAAATAAGTGGGTCTCTTAACTACCCAAAAGAGAAAAGAATAAAACTAATAAATTAGTAAATCCACAAACCTTCATGTTACGTTAACGATGTTGAGCACGACAGGCCAGGCTAGATAAAGAGAGGGCATTACTCACTACGGGGGTAGGCTAATGCGTTCATATTGTTTCATGGTTGGACACTGCAGTGTTGCACGAAGGAGGGTTCCTCAGCGGACACACACACCTATATCTTTGTTATGTGTTTAAGTGTGTCGTAAAGGAGTAAGCGCGCGTGCGGGTGGGCCTGAGCGAGGCTGACTGTCCCGTTATCAGTGGAGCGAAGGTCGCCGATAAGAGGAGGCAGCGATTCGGCGCGGCCACAGCGAGCTCAGTTGCAACCAGCAGCGCCAACTGCCGCAAGGACACCGCCAACGCTCCAACAACAACCGCAACCTACGATGGCTACCTCGGACCGCAACGCCCGCCTCGTAAGTAGCCCTTGGCGTAGCTTCGGGGAGTGCCGAAGACTCGGCTCAGTTTCTGTGGATTCTGAGGGAGGTGGGGGGGAGGGGGAGGAAGGGGGAGAGGGGCACGGAATGGGGAAATAAGCGAACACAACGAATGGAAAAGACACAAAATAATCACGCATCGTGACTATAATCAGGATCATAACGATCGTTCAGGATTACATCTGTCCATCGCGGTTGAACAGTGATGTGTGGCAGGGATTTTTGCGATGTCATCTTGCCCAGCAGAGCTACAGTATCTTTGGACTCGCTCGGGAGGTTTGGCTAGTGTCGGCGACGTGGAACTTTTTCTTTGTGTCATTTTGGCAAGGCATATGTTGTCTTTCGAACCGATGGGTTCTTTTAATTGGTATGTTTAATAGCCGGGTTTCGATTTATTCATCAATTTCTTGTGTGAATCCTTGTTGATTTCACTCTTTATATCTCTGTCTCTTTCCCTCCACCCTCTTTCTGTCACTTGCATACTCACTCTTTCAGTTCCTCTCTGACCCATCTTCACTCTCCCTCATGTTCAATCATATTTTCTCACTCTCATTCTTTCTTTTATTCTCTTTCTCTCCCTCTCATTTTCTCATATCGTCTATCTCTCTGTTATAATTCTTTCCCTCTCTCTCCTCTGTTATCTCTCTCACACATTCCCTCTTATATTCTCTCTCTTTCTCCCTCTCTCATTTTCTCTTATATTCTCTGCCTCCCTTTTATCCTCTCTGTGGGATGCCATTGAAGTTGACATTCCATGACAAGGGTCCAAGGACACTTCCGTGAGGTCCGCTGCCTCTCGCCGGACGTTCCCTGGAGGACTGGCCTTCAAGGGCGACTTGGAGAGTCCTTCCGAGGAGGCAGTCCTCTATTCGTCCTAATTGCTGGCGGAAACACTTGCGAAATCTGCCTTTGATTCGGGAAGATTTTAAAAGAACAGACACGCAGCCTGTGGTGATAAGAATGATAAGAATGAGCAGCCAGCTACTTATCTTTTCAGTTACGTTATGTAAGCTCGTAAGAGAGAGAGGGGGAGAAAATCAAGGAGTGAGAGCGGGTAATTGAGATATAGAGAGAAAGGAGTAATTGAGTAAGGGAGTGAGGGTATTTGGGCAGTTGGCAGATAGAGAGTAATTGAGAGTGAGATGAAAAAAGAGAGTAATTGATATCTATTTGTTTATTTTGTAATGAGAAAACTCAATCTTTTGAAAAAAAAAAGTTATTTTTGGAAAAGGTATTTCGTGTAGGAGAAAAATCGCTCAAAACTAAAACTAGATAAATCAGCAAAGAATGCATTTGGGGGGAAAGCAGCAAACATGTCCGTATAGTTTTCTTTACATGAAGAGACTATTTTGACGATTTCACTAAAATGCAGAGTTTGGCTCCTGTGCTTCATTTAGCCTCTTTTCTGCGAATCATTGGCGACGAAAGAATAGTGATAACAGGGATAGCGAGAGGCAAAGGGAGGGATGCGAGGAGCACTAGGCTCATATGTGAGGCTGTAGGAGGCAGGGGGGCATGGAGCCAATCAGGGAGATAGAGAAAGAGAAGAAAGTTATTAGAGAGAGGGAAAGGGTGGGGGAAACGGGTGCAGAGGGAGAGAGGGGGAAGCAGAATGTGAGAGATAGACCTTATCTTTTTATCAGCCGCCCCGAGTTGACAACAGGTACACCTTACACACACATACAGACATACCCAATATTATAGTAAAGTTAATCAATCGATATATAATTAGCAAAAATGCTACTGTTGACTACGCAAACGAGGTAGTTCCTGCATTAGCGTTCGTCGCCTCCCCCCCTCCCCTTACCGTCTTGCCTTGAGTTCGTGGGGGGTCTTGCCTCAGCCACTCCTCCGCTGCCATAGGCCTGGGCAAGATCTCTCTGCCATTTTTTGCTGTTTTAATGGGTTGGTCATATCTTTGTTAGGTTTAGGGCGATATACTACCTTTTAGTAATATATCGCATAGGTAGGATTATATTGCTTTTTTGTGTTTTGTGTATTCTGGTTTGTTTTGCTGAAGGCATAAATAAAAATAATTTGTAATTAAATGACTTTACGTATTTTCCAAATCTTTGACAATTAATAAATGCTAGTTCATAATAAATGAATGACTAACTCGCAATGAAAGAGGAATTTGATACATTTACTATAAAGAGCATTACCATAACATAATGAAAGTACTTTATAAATAAATGATAATACATTGAGACATGATCAATGAATGATTGAGTTAACGTATTTAATGACAATAAGCTAATGACGTTAACGAGTATAGTAATAAAGAAGGAATGACATCAATGAATGAAGAAATTGAATAATCACTAATAGTAATTTAACGCAAGGACAGTTGTTGTTACGTGTTATTAGCCATTCAAAATCAGGCCGCATCATTTTGATTTTTCGTCTATGATTCTGGCTACCGCATTAGGAGAATTAAAGTTCAGCGGAGCTGCTCTTCCCCTGAATTCTCTTAGTGACATACCAGCCGTAACACCAAACAAAGACACACAATCACAGAAAAGCACTCAGACTAAGACATACAAGTGAGATGAAGTGAGATGTGAATTCCGTCTCTCTGAAGTGAATTCCTGTTGTGTGAAGTGAATGTAAGTTCTCAAACTGAGCCACAGAGAGAGAACTTGGGTGAACACAACGGAGAGAAAGCGAAAAAGAGAGTTGGGGAAAGAGAGAAATGATAGGGGAAGGAGAGAGAGAGAGATAGGCTTATCTTTTTATCAGCTGCCGCCCCGGGTAGACAACAGGTACACGTAAAAATCACCAATATACCCATGTAGACACACGCAGACAAAGAAATATATAAACGCACAGACAAGCACAATCGAAACACACACACTGACAAACGCATACAGTCAGGCATATAAGAAGGATGAGGAGACTTCTCCACCCAAAGGAGGGCGTGCGGAGGACTACAAAGGCAGAGGGAGGGAGAGAGAGAGGGAGGAAAGGGAAGGAGAGAAAATATAAGCTTTCAGGGTCAACTGTTTACACGTCTGTAGCGTTACATGAGAAACTTCCTCCTTCCCTCACATAATCACACAACACAAACAATACAATATATCATATGCCTGTTATAGAATTATGATCCCGGAGAAGAAATTACAATAGATTGTTGAGTGAAGTATTTGTGTCTCAAAAGAATGGTAAAATTTATCTCTTGGAGCAAAATGTCTGTGGCTCTTCAAAATCCCAAATAGCTGGCCATTCTTGATCATCCATTCACCCTTTTTAGGTAAACCTGTTATGTCTGCACTGTAATATATAGAGTAACGGATCTTTGTAATCTACACCTTTTTCTTGCTTGCCTGTCTGAACGCCTAACTGCCAGTAATGTTTATATCCAAGCCTGTACACACTGCCTTTCTATTTGCACTTGCCCCTCCCACAAGTAGTCTCGACCGCCTCGCCCTTCCTGGCCTCGTCATAGTCCAGCTGCATCCTGTTGCTATTGCTCCCTGCCTGTTTGAGAGTGTGCTTACACTTGATGTCCACCTCAAATTTCCTGGTCGCCTTCTTCGCAAGGTAGATAAAGGTCGTTAGGTAGATAGAGAGAGAGAGCGAGAGATAGTCTTGATCCTTTTATCAGCTGCCAGCCCGGGTAGAAAACAAGTATAGATCACACACATACATATGGGAGCGCATACACACGTGTCCATACTCACTCAGACACACACATGAACGTACAATCACAAACACTTTGAAACACACACAGCCAAACGCATGCAAGTAGATATTTAAATGCGCACGGACAGAGAAAAAGAATCCCACACACACAAACATTCTAATACGCACATCTACAAACACACTCATGTAAATACACATACTTACGCAAACAACTACAAACACACACTCATGCACAAGCAGACAAATACAGGCGCACATACTGACAAGCACACACAAACGTAGGTGTGAATTCTGTCTGGTGTGTCTCACAGAAGCGACGGCTTCCAGACAAATCTAGACAAAGGCAGGGAGGTCTAAGAAAACAAGTCGCGTACTGTAAGTATGCAAATACGAATCTTTGGAAATCAACACAAAGGTTTCGCTCAGCGACAGCTGGTTGCCACGGCAACAAATTCGTCTCTCGAGCCAAGCCAAGGTGTCGCCGCTTATCTGACGCTTGTTTTCCGACGCCTGACATGTGACACATCGGTGTTGCCGTAAACAGTAGCGTCCTTTGGGTGGTCCTTTCCTCTGTGTTGTCTGTGCATCGGCGTTGTCCTACGTATCTACAGCACTGCCTCATCTCGGCTGAAATCTGCCTCTGCCTTTGAGGGATGCAAAGGCAGAGGGAGAAAGAGAAAGAGGCAAGGGGATTGTAAAGGGGAGAGAGAGAGATGGCGGGGGAAGAGGACAGAGAGAGATAGGGGTAGGGGGGAAAAAGAGAGAGTAAAAGAGAGAGGGACTTCGTGAGAGAGAGTAAAAGAGAGAGAGGGACTTCGTGAGAGAGAGTAAAAGAGAGAGGGACTTCGTGAGAGAGAGTAAAAGAGAGAGAGGGACTTCGTGAGAGAGAGTAAAAGAGAGAGGGACTTCGTGAGAGAGAGTAAAAGAGAGAGGGACTTCGTGAGAGAGAGTAAAAGAGAGAGAGGAACTTCGTGAGAAATAGGTTTTATCTCCTTATCAACCGCCGTCCCAGGTAGACAACAGGTACACCTTACACACACACGCTCATTCCTATCCCTTACACCTTGGACGACTACCTTTCATATTTTTTTCTTGTTCAAAGGGATCCCTTATTTAATATATATATATCCTTTTTGAAGAATTGCGCAAAGGAGATGAGAGAGCGGCTGGGCCGGGTCTTGTGACACGCCTGCTCCTTGCACGGGGCTGCGTCCCCTCCCCCCCAAGCCCTGTGTCGCCGACTCGCGGAGTACGATTGGAGGCCGCAACCGCCCGGGAATAACACTCGTTTTCTTTCTTTTTTCTCAATTCTATGCATATTACTTGTTCCTATTACT